ACACATACACACACACACACATACACACACACACATACACATACACATACACATACACATACACATACACATACACATACACAGACACATACACACATACATACACACATACATACGGACATACTTACATACTCATACCTACATGTTTCCTTCCGTCGTGTTTGTATACAGAAATGTGTACACATATATGAATACTTATATGTATGTGTGACTCAGCGCACTTCTACATGTGCTACATGTGTTGTTTAGACATGGTCGTTGTGAGGCATGTTCTGCTCCCTGCCTCATAAAAGCGTATTGTGTAAGAGCTTCTGTTCAGGCTTTTCAATTCTTCGGGAGTGGGGTTGTGCGGCGAAGCCACCTGCAGCTGCCGGTGTCGCAGGCTGAGGGCCTGGGGCGTTCAAGCCCCTAAACCCTAAACCAGGGATACCTTCATTGTTTGGTTTCGGCTCCCACTCGCGAACATTCCAGGCGCGGCATGTTCGACGAGGGCGGTAAATTAGAGAGGCCAGGTCCTGATATGTCGGTCAATCTTGGACTCCCTTCTTTCATGAAACCCTGCCTAGGTCACCGCTGCATGCATGGCCACCTTCCTGGTGCCATTAGCTTCGCGGGGACTGAGGCAGAAGTGCCATGAAAACCCTTCTGGTAGAATGATACTCTTGTGCTACGAATGTGAGTCCGTTGTCTACTTAATCTGCCACATCCATCCTGAACATGATTCTGTTGTCGCTGCGGTTGCTGTGCTGTTGGACCGCCAAGTCTTATCTTTCAATGTTTCCATGGTAGTGATTGCTGCTCTTGCTCTCGCTGCGAAGGACAGCCATAAGTTGGGTGTCACTGCTTGATGCTTGAACGAAGTAGGTAGGGTTCCCGATCGATTTATACTTCGGAGTGGTTCTACCTGGACAAAGGTGCAGGGTTTGGCTGTTGGGCTTTAGGGTCGTAGCTTCGGGACTCGTGTTTAGAGATGTTGTTCATCGGGTGTTCATAATGTGGACAGGCCATTTATTGGTACCACTGCCGCAGCCAGATGTCCTTCAAAAGCTCATGTTGCGCTGTGCCAGCAGCATTCGAACCAAAGCAGCTGCATGTGGAACCCAGACCCTATGCCCCGAGCAAAACTAAACCCTAAGCCTTTTGAGCCATAAACTAAGTCGGAAACCCTGATCCCCATAA